TGCCACCGGCAAGCTCCTCGGCACCTGTCCCGAGTTCGACGCCAAAGATACCGAGAATGCCATCGCCGCCGCCAGCGCCGCTTTTTCTAGTTTCAAGACAAAGACTGCGCGCGAACGCTCCAAGTTGCTACGAAAATGGTACGACCTAGTGATAGAGAACGTGGATGACCTGGCTATTCTCATCACTCTCGAGAACGGCAAGCCGTTTGCCGACGCCAAGGGCGAGGTCAACTATGCCGCCAACTTCTTCGAATGGTTTAGCGAGGAGGCACCCCGACAATATGGTGACTTTATACCTTCTACTGTGCCCGGGAACAGGGTCATCACGATTAGGGAGCCGGTGGGCGTCTGCGGTCTGATCACGCCATGGAACTTTCCTGCTGCCATGATCACGCGCAAGGTCGGTGCTGCATTGGCCGCTGGCTGCACCACCGTATGCAAGGCCCCCGGAGAGACGCCCTTCACGTCTCTAGCATTGGCAGAGCTTGCGCACCGGGCTGGCGTTCCAAAGGGTGTTGTGAATGTCGTGACTACCCTGGCGAATACCCCTCAGATTGGAGAGGCCCTCACGACTCATCCTACAATAAGGAAGGTGTCTTTCACCGGCTCAACCGTTGTTGGTAAACTTCTTATGAAGCAGGCTTCCTCCACTTTGAAGGTCATATCCATGGAGCTAGGCGGCAACGCACCGTTCATTGTCTTTGATGATGCCGACATTGACGCCGCTGTCGCCGGTGCTATCTCGTCTAAGTTCCGGTCTTCCGGACAGACTTGCGTGTGTGCCAACCGGATATACGTTCAAAAAGGCATCTATGACGAATTCGCCAAGAAGTTCGCCGAGAAGGTTAAAGCATTCAAGGTTGGCCACGGATTCGACGAGGGAATTACCCATGGCCCTCTGATCCACGAGCGAGCAACTAACAAGGTTGAATCGCATGTTAGAGATGCTGAGAAGAAGGGCGGAAAAGTTATTATAGGAGGACAGAAGATCCCGGACCTAGGATCCACCTTCTTCCAACCTACTGTTATCACCGGCATGACCAAGGACATGGCCATTGCGTCTGAGGAGACCTTTGGACCAGTGGCTGGCCTGTTCCCCTTCTCAACCGAAAGAGAAGTCGTCGACCTAGCGAATGCCACCGAAGTTGGTCTCGCAGGTTACTTCTTCTCGAGAGACCTGGAGAGAATCACCCGAGTCGCAGAGGCCCTGGAAGTTGGCATGATCGGCGTCAACACGGGTCTCATCTCCGATCCCGCCTCGCCGTTCGGCGGTGTCAAGCAGTCTGGTTTCGGAAGGGAGGGGTCCAAGTACGGAATTGAGGAATATCAGAACATCAAAACGATTACGTATGGCGGAATGGGAAAGCCGCTGCAAAGCTAAGGGACGCGGAAAGAATTACCGGTATTTTGAGGAATATGGGAGCAATGGATGTAATACCTCGTTTTAATGTATATAGCATGTAACATTTTTGAGTACCCATCATTTATGGAAACGTCTGTGAATATAAGAAACTTTTTATGAAAACGATCCAGTATTGCTCTTGAACTACGGTTATGTACTCGGGTTGGAGAAGGTAAAAGAAAAGTCCCCTGAGAAACTACGAATGCTATAATCAATAAAAGTACTGCACGTAAAAGGGGGTGGGGTTTGTTTCTTCTCTAAATGCATTCCCCGCTTTAGTGAATAGTCCAAAATACCAATCATTGGATCAATCTAAAATCCATAGGAACTTCAAAAATTACAAACGAAAGGTGGGAGCAACGGTGCATTCCAACCACACACATACACACACAACGAGTTGTATCGATGCTTCGACATCCGCTCTCCTCGGCCGTCGGCCGCACCGCGGGGGCAGACATCAGCCGGGTTACGGACGGCATCACGGCCTCGCTCCGAAACTTTTCTGTCGCGCGGAAACTTCAGCAAGACAACAGCAACGATGGTGATAATAATGATGATTACAGCTTACCGTTGATGGGCAAGCAGCGCGCAGCCGCCGCCTTTGACGAACTTATGTCCATCAGCGACATGCCTACAAACTCCGATTCCTCGTCTGCCTCCCCTTCGTCTCCGGCAGCTTCTCCAGATACCGACAAGCCAACACAGACACCAATAAGGCCAGCGGCACTGGCATCCCTTACCCGGGGCCCGAGAATTATTAAAGTCTCGAGCCTTCCCTCCCGAGATGGCGTCAGAATCATCCGAGGTGGATTTCGCGGGCCCGGGGGTGCGGGCCCCCCCGCAGGCGGCCGCAGGCCCTCAATACCAGGAATGACGGGTGATCTATACCGTCAACCACAGCGGTTCGCGGGTCGTGGAGGAGGAGGAGGAGGAGGAGGAGGAGGAGGCAGGGGAGGCCGTCGCGGCCGCGGCCGACGACGCGAGGGTGGGGACGGGGACCGCAGGCGAGGAGGGAGAGACGACGGCAGGCAGGGCGATCCCGAGGACGTCGAGGACCCGGCGGTGCAGGCGTGGCGCGAGGAGAAGGAGATGGGCGCGCTGGTGCCGTACAACCCGTCGGTATCGCTCTCCGTGCTCGCGGGCTACGGCCCCGCCGTCGCCACGTCGACGACGCCCTTCGCGGCCGCCGAGACGGCGACGCGGCAGGCGCGCATCCTCGGCGGCGGCGACGCCTACCACGAGGGCCACCTGCTCGAGCCGCAGGACGCGCAGGCGCGCTTCCGCGACGGCGAGGGCGTCTTCTTCCCGACGCCGCGCGCCAGGAAGCTGGCGCGCCGCAACAGCCCGTCGACGCTCGGGTGGATCGGGCTCCCGCCCGAGGAGACCCGCACCGCCGTGCTCGAGGCCGCGCTCCTGGGCCACTACGACGGCCCCCGCTTCGCCGAGCCGGGCGACACCGCCGGCGCCGTGCGCAGCTACGTTAGGCGCGACGGCACCTGGAACGCGGACGCGAGCAGGCGCATCGAGGCCAAGATCATGAGCCTCCTGCCCGATGGTTGGCAGGGGGCGCCGGCGTCGACTCGGGCCGCTAGCGCACGGCCTTCGCGTTGAGGTGGTTGTTGTCTGAATTATCCTAGGAGGGGGGAGGGGGTGGGAGATTGGGCTGGTAGACTCGACTTAAAGGCTTTATGCCGATGGAGGAAAAAGAAACAACCAAACAAAAAAAGCGACAATAAACCCGAAAAGAAGGTATACGTCGAGATTCTCTAGAATGAATCCTAGCTCTAGACCCAGAACCTCTCTCCTGTACTATCATCACGAACATAACTTGTAACAAAGACATCTATCTGGTGTGTCATGCACACATATCTATTCCATCCTTAAATCTTATTTTCCCGTCGCACGCACCTAGTGTCTGCATTTCTTGTCTGGAAGCTCGGAGTTCGATCAACTTCCAATGTCTACCCACTTAGCTTTTGTTTGTATTATACATTTGTCCGTCCGTCCGTCCGTCCGTCCGTCGGGGCTTTAGGGGGCCGATAACCTCGTTCGCTAACCTCATGACCACAGCTGCCAGCAGTAGCATGGGGAATCTACCTATCTAGCCCGTTTAAATACCCAAAGCTCTTCTTACTTGCTCTTGCTTTACTTCCCGGACTCGGCGGCCTTCAGGGCCTCCTTCTCGGCGGCGTCGATCTCGGCCATCTTGGCCTTGATGATCTTGTCGAGGGCCTTGTCGGCGGCCTTCTTCAGGTCGGGCACGATGAGCTTCTCCTTCTGCCAGGTGGCGTGGAGCTTGTCGCGGCGCTGGCGGACGCTGCGGACGCGGTCGCGCCACTCGTTGCAGGCGGCGCGGGCGCGCTTGACGTTGTCCTCGCGGCTCTCGGGCTCGACCTTCAGCACGAGCTCGAGCTCGTTGTCGGGGCTCCGCTGCGGCTGCTGGTTGAAGTCCTCGCTCGCCTGCACCGCGCTCATGACCGCCCGGATGTACCCTTCCTCGTGCACGAGCAGCGACACCGTCCGCCCCCCGCGCGGTATCACCTGCGCCAGCTCCCGCAGCGGGTACGTCGTCCCCGACTTGCGGTCCGGCTGCACCTGCAGCGCCCCGATCGCGTCCGCGTTGAACCGGCCCCCGCTGCGCAGCCGCTTGAGCACCTCCCGGTAGTGCGCGTCGTGCTTGCTCGCCCGCGAGAGCACGTCCGCGAACTCGAGCGGCTCCGAGGGGTCCGGCGTCGGGTGCTTGGAGCCGCCGTCGTGGTCGTCTTCGGCGCCGGGCTTGGAGGACGGCGGCGCGCCCTTGGGTTCCGGGTCCCGGGACTTGCCTCCCTTCTTGTGGGCCGCGGGCGTGGCGTGGAAAGCTCGGGCGCCGTTGAGGGGGGATGGTAGGTTCAGGGGGGTGGTGCTGGTATGGGATTGAGGCCGAGGCTGGGGCCGTTGGCTAGTGTAGATACCGACAGGTCGGTTGCATGTAGCTGCCGCTGCTGAGGCGAAACCCGCACGAGGAACAACATCATAGCTTCTACTGCTGCAGCGGGCGGTTAGCGACCTGAATAGAAAAGATAAAAGCCATTGGAGGGGCCAATTGGGGAAACGGACGTTCTGGCTAGCTCGGGGCGAGAAATGCCTCGTCGAAGAAGTGTCCTAGCCGCTGTATTCCTCATCGTTGGCTAGTTTGACCCAAGTATTTTCTGTAGCTCTCTTGACGAACTTTGAAGCTTTACGAAGCTCCGGCCTCAAAAGATTTGTTGCTGCCCGTGAAGAAACCCCACTCTTGGGTGGAGCCCCGCTGGAAACTTGTACGGGGTGCATCTGCACCCTTCCTAGCTTCACTCCCTAACATGGAGGAAGGGGGGGGGGGGGAGTAAAGATAGGTACATACTACCTACCTGCCTATGGACAATTCTATAAATCCTATAGATTTTCATGAATTTTATCTAAATAGAAAATTTTTCAAGAAAAGAACATCTAATCTAACCTAATTTAATACCTATTTATAAAGTCACAAGCAGCTTCAACTATATACCCATCAAACCGCCTCAAAATATGGTTAAAAATGTTATCAAATATGGATCCTGTTAGTAGCAAAAATTTCACCTTTGGTTGCCTGGTGTAGTGGTTATCACATCTGTCTTACATTGAATCCCAATGTGAGGACACAGAAGGTCGGCAGTTCGATCCTGCCGGCAATCAGCTTTTTGGTTTCCTACCTAGTTAGTTGAATGGGATCTTTTCTTTTGCTCACTTAGAAATTGCTGTCCTGTTTTAATGCCCATGTTGGTTTCTTCTTCTCATTTTTAGTAAATTTAAAAGCAGAAACGTTGTGTGAAATATTAATTCTAAATTACCTATGGTTGTTATTTTCATAGATAGTGCAACCTAGGAGGCGTACAGAACGGTAGAGCTCCCCCTGATACCGATCCATGCACTAAAGGCATTGAAGAACATAGTAAACGCACTCATAAATCATTGCTACTTAGTAGGAGATCAATCGTATTTTCTAAATCAACAGGAAGAATCAAAACACGCTTGTTATCATATTCCATTCTAAAAGTTCTATCTGAAAAAGTCCTTGTTACTTGTCCACCATGTACATAAATGTCCTTAGCAGACCTTAAACTTGATTGTATAAATTCAATAACTCGGTTTTCATTTGCTAAAGTTCCAATAAAAGTCGCGTTTAATAATACAGGATCTAAACCCTTGGCTTGAAATCCAGTCGCGGCTACTTTCTTCCTTCAACCACCTAACCCCCATTGCCCCCAATCTACCTCCTCCCTCCCTCCCTCACAACCCCCCAAGTCTCCAAACCTCAACCCCGACCCCAACAACCATGACCTGCAACCCTCCATCCCCATCCCCATCCCCACAACCACCACCCAAGACCTCCAACCCCCCCGCATCCGCCACGGAGCTATACCGCTCATCCAGGAGCCTCACCCTCGGCGCGCGGCCGCGCCAGCCGACGAGCCCCCAGACCCTGACGCGCTGGTCGTTGCTCGCCGTGACCACGACCGCCCCGTCGTCCCCGAGCCTCGCGATCGCGACCCCCGTGATGGCGGCCGCGTGCGCGCATCGCACGACCGATTTGCTCTCGACCCGGTACCGCGGCTCTTCTGACGACAACGACCAGACGATGTGCGTGATCCCCAGCGCGTTGTCGTCGCCGCCCGTAACGACGAGGTACGACGTCGCGTCCTGGCCGTCGGCGACCGCGCGCATGTCGAGCGCCTTGATGGTGTTCTGGTGGAGTCTGGTGACCAGGGTCTTGGGAGGTTCGGGTGTGAGTTCGCCCGGTTCGGCGGTAGCCGGGGTTTGTTGTTGCTGTTGCATATCCGCGTAGATAGCTATATGCCCATCCGTAGCCGCGCTCAGGACCTGCGGGCGACCACCGTCGACGAGTCTCAGGTGCCTCGCCTGCGTTAGGCACGCGCCCGTGTACGTCCGCCGCCCCAGGAGGCGGAACCCGTAGTCCGCCGAGTACGTGTAGCTCTGGAGCGTGGAGTTCGAGAGCGCCATCGAGATGCAGAACCACGGAGGCGAGCCGCCGTCGTCACTACCACCCCGGCCGGCGTCGCTCACGCGCTCGACGTCGAAATCCGTGATCCTCAGGTCCCCGGCCTCGGAGCGGTCCTGGAACACGGCCTCGCAGACGACGGCGAGCCCGGTGTAGCCGTCGCAGTCGAGTGTGCTTACTCTCCAGACGAAGAACTCCTCGTTCCCCGCGCTGCTGAACAGGTAGCCGCTCCCTGACCACTTTAGCGCCTGTATGCCGGTGGCGTGCTTCTCGAGCGCCGCGAGGCAGCGGAGCGTTCCCCCGCGGTACTCCCATATCCGTATCACGGTGTCCTCGGAGGCAGTGGCCACGTACCGGCCCGAGGAGCTCACGGCTTTGATCTCGCGCCCGTGCACCCCTGTCTTGATCGTCTTGTGGGGCGTGCGCGTCTGGGAGAAGATTCTCATCTGTGACGCCTTCGTGAAGACGAGTCGTACCCGCTCGGGGTCGTCCCTGGAGGACGTGTAGGCGAAGTTTCGGTGGCCGCCCCCGCATTCCACGGCTGCGACCTCCTGGCGCCTAGTCTCATTCCAGACCACGAAGTGCTTGCTCCGGAACCCGTAGAGCATGAGGTCCTGGGTCCCGTCGGGGTTGGCAGAGAACCAGGATCCCTCGACCATGGGCCCAAATGGTGGGGATGTCTCGTGAAGAAGGGAGGTCTCGACTCCGTCAGCCGTGTTTATAATTTCGTAGATTCTAAATTTGCCGTCCCGGCCCGTAGTGAGGAAGTAACTAGGCGATTGTTCATCACGACTAGGTAGGGGAAGAATAGAGGTGATAGTGTCCTTTAGTTTCACTTTTATATTCAATATGGGGGAATAACTCCCATCGTTAGTCCGGTCAAGGATTGATACTAGACCGTGTCTCGAACCAAGAACGAGGTACTGCCGACAGAATGCGGCAGAGGTAGGAGTAAAACCTGGCTTTAGGGAAACTTTAGTACGTCTCGAGATCGAGGCACTAGAATCGATTTGAAGGAGCTCTGCTTCGACACTACCAAGGATAGTGACGAGGATTTCCGATTCACCATTCTCGGGGTTCTCACAACCTTGGCTACTTCGATGCCGCACAGTGCCAGCATTGGAGAGACAAAATATACCATTAATCTTCCCGTGCACATTCGCCAGTGGTCGGAGCGACGCGCCATCACAATCTCGATAGGAGAAGAGATCACCGCCGTTGGTGCCGATGAAAGTTATTGAGTTAGTCACCGAGTTCTCAACCACAGAGTATCCCATGATGGCCTTGCGGGTCTCGTCTGGGATGGTCAGCTCTCTCCACTCGAGTTCGTCTGCAAAATCGCCAACAAAAACTCGACCGGAATTCGAAATGGCGAAGAGGCGGTCGTCCGTAATGAAGCTGTACTGAAAAAATAATTCCTTGGCGCTTGGTATTCTATCGACCGGTATGAGCATGTTTGAAGCATCCCCCGTCTTTGGTATAGTGCGATATGAATAACATGATGAGACCACGTCCGTTAAAGATAACTCGATTATTTGGCTCCCTCCATTTGGGCCTCGGATAAGTGTCGTCGGGTCATTCAGATTTTCATTTGATGGTTTTGTCAATGCTTCGTCTATGAGAGCTACCTTGCCATCTGACCCACCGGTGGCAATAAGGAGATTATCGTCATCATTAAATATTATAGCATGAGACCAGATATGCTTCCCGCTGTGGTTCGAAAACGTAGTCTTGTGTGTGAGGCTAGCTATCAGTTGTGTCTTGTTCCCTGATGTCCTATCATCAGACGTCGTAGATAGCGATTGATCTCCTAAGTCGAGATGCCACTTCTGAGCAGTTGCATCCTCGCCGAAGGAGTAAATCTCAATGATACTGTGTGCCGGGCCACGATGCTGTCTCTGTGCGAATTCGACTTGCCATATCCTCGAAATGTGTCCCATAGCTATTGCCACGCACCTTGTTGTGCTGTCATCATGCTCTGTTGCTTTGACGCTATCTCCAAATCCGGTCTCCCGAGCGTCTGAGATCTGGCTTCCGTACCCGCCTTGAACATTTCCGGCCTCGCTACGTCTTTCAGTGATATCCCAGACGCGGATAGTCCGGTCGTCACTACAGCTCGCGAGCAGCCTCAAGGGCTCTCCAGAAGGGGATTGTATCTCGGGAGAGATATTTACACCGAATATCGAGCCCTCGTGGCCCGAGAACACAAACAGTACCTCGCAGCTGGGGTCGCGCCCATCGGAACCGAGGTTGCATTTCCAAACGAGGATCTCGCCAAACACGGTGCCAGCCGCGACAAGAACACAGTCTCTGGAAACCCAGAAGAAATTTCCCGAATAAAGAATCGGCCTCGAAGGCGACTGGATCCTGCCAAAAGCCAGAGAACTCCGGTCCTGGCTTACCTGGGCTTGGATGACCTCGTTGTGCGCAGTGAGGAGCACAATACTAGCGCTGTCAAACGGCGATATCCTTCCGTCAAGGATCCAGTCAGGCGCCTTTGCCTCGACCACGCCATTCGTGAGACCGTCTCCACTGGCATGGCCCGAGATAATGCACTCCTCGACGAGCTCTCCGGGTAAGACTTTCACTTGATGGCCGCCCCAGGCGAGGACTCGGGGAGGGCGACGGCTTGCATCTCCAGGCGGCACGGTGATCCCGTGGATAGGCTGTGCCTGGAAGACGGGCAGCTGCCCGCAGAGGCTCGAGGACGAGATATCGTAGATCTTGATGTCGGTATCCTCGCCCGCCAAGAGGTACTGACGGCGCCGGGTGGCGTCGGGAGAGAAGAAGGCGAGCGCCGTGATGGGATTCAGCACATATTCCCGTTCAAGAGGACTGACAACTGCCTGCTGAACAAGGGTATGTAAGTGTTAGTGATAGTTGTCTGTCATAACAATCATCAATCAGGTCAGAGTTGCGATGATCGGGCTCATGCGCAAATAAAATTTTTTTTTTTCGAATCAAGAAATAAAGAGACTGACCTCGCAAGACATTTGGGGTTATCTCGACGTGAAGGAATTTCGCAAAATGCTGAATTAGACCTCCTTAATCAAGCTTAGAGTATAATTGAATCCAACAGGTACTTATTAATATTCAATTATCACCTACATGTACTCAGGAGGTACCTAGCATGAGTTAAAAGAGAAATTATTTATCACACGTGATTAGCGTCTCCTTACAGAGTTGCACTTATAGAGACCGCAGTCTTGAAACAGTACCAGATTGAGGCCCGAGTTCAAATTCCCCCGATTCAGATGGGTAATCACAAAAATAAAAAAAAGTGTTTATTTGTAAATCATTATACGGCTACATGTGGCATTAAATGTATAATGCCTCTGGGGTATCCCCTCCTTTCCAGGGTCGCACGCCCAAAAATCCTCCCTGGACCCTGACCGCAAACCAATTCATTCATTCTCATCATTTCCAAACCTAAGCGCCGGTGAATGCAAGTTTCATGACTTAAAGCAACCAACCAACCCACCCAGTCTATTTCATTATGGACCGATCACCATGACGTTCTTTTTTGAATAAACTCCACTTAAACTCTGGAGTGAGAGTACGGCTCGTAGGCAAGATCCGACCGGGCTCCGCCACGCTTCGGGGCACCGTTGTTGTAACCCGAGTTGTGGGCGTTCGACTCGCCAAGAGGGGCGTACGAGCCGGTGGGCAGGAATTT